GATGGAAGGAGAGAACATGAGTCAGTGAGGTACGAAAGGACAAGAGAGACCAGAGTGGCAGCAGTAGAAGCTGATGTGAAAATCCACAGAGAGATCCATGAACTGGAGCCCCAGGAGGAGCTCAGAAGGAGAGAACGTGACCGTGAAGTGGAAGAGAGGAGGGTTTGCAGAAGAGACAGAGAAGAGCCTGTGCTGGAGAGGAGGATTGATCTTCAAGGGGAGCTGGAGGTGGAGGTCTCTGAGCGCCGCAGCCGCCAGACACGAGACAGGGAGGAGAGAGAGACCCGGGAGCTGGAAGAGGATGGAAGGAGAGAACATGAGTCAGTGAGGTACGAAAGGACAAGAGACACCAGAGTAGCAGCAGTAGAAGCCGATGTGAAAATCCACAGAGAGATCCGTGAACTGGAGCCACGGGAGGAGGTGAGAAGGAGGGAACGTGACCGTGAAGTGGAAGAGAGGAGGGTTTGCAGGAGAAGAGACAGAGAAGAGCCTGTGCTGGAGAGGAGGATTGACCTTCAAGGGGAGCTGGAGGTGGAGGTCTCTGAGCGCCGCAGCCGCCAGACACGGGACAGGGAGAGAGGGGTCACCATCGACCGGAGAGAGACCCGCAAGGAAACCACACTCGAGGTCCTCGAAGAAGAACAGGAGGTGGATGAAGGACGAAGCCTCTTCCAGACTGTGGAGGTGGACAACAGGGACCTCTGCCCCCCGGGAGAGGAAGGGCCCGTGAGTGACCTGAGGGTTCGCTACGTCCCTGCTGACCCCGCGGAGCGTCCGGAGGTGCGGGTGGTGCCCCAGCCCTGCGACCCCCAGACCATTGCCTACCTGGTCCACGTGATCCAGAACGGGAGAGACCCCGGCGCTGCCACCTACGAGATCGTCTGCCACCAGCCCGGCGAGCGGGGCCAGCCCCTCTGCGTCAGGAAGTGCTTCGTGTCCACCAAGCCACCGACTGTCCCCTGCGACAGGAGCCACCACCCAGAGCCACCACCCCGGGGGGACCAGAGAGAACCTGGGGAGCCCCAAATTCCACCTTCCAGCTGCCAGGAAAACACGAGGGAGCTCAGTGGGGAGAGAGCTGGAGCAGGGGGGAAGGAAGGAGCTCCCCAGGCTTCTGCCCCCCAGCCCGAGGCCGTTAAAGGCGACCCTTGCAGGGTGAACAGCAAGGAGGTCCCTGACACAGAAAAGAATCAGCCCCAGGGAGATGGATCGAGAGCTGCCAGGGGGAAGGTCCCCCGGGAGCCAGGATCCAGCTGCCAGGTGAGGGAGCACGAGGACAGGAAGGCCAAGAGTTGCCCACCTCTGCTCCAGGCTCCCGACGCCGACGGGAGCCGTCCCCGGAGAGAAGGAACCGGCCGCGCCCGCCAGGACGTGGAGCTTCTCCCCCCGGAAAAGAGCTGCCAGGAGGAGACCTGCAAGAGGAGCCCCCGGCAAGGGGGTGATGCCCAACTGGCACGGGAGGAGGAGCCGCGTCCTGGCACCAAGCAGAGCCAGGGGACCCCCGGGCTGCCGAGCTCCCGGGAGGAACCGAGTGGTCCCGCGGGGGATGAAGCCAAAGCACCTTAGGGGGGGAAGCTGGTGGGGGCTTCTCCGGGTCTTTCTGAGGATCAGGATGTGATCGACTCAAAAGGGTTCATGAGGTGCCTCGAGAGGGTGTCCAGTGGGTTCGGGGGTTTTTCCATGTAATGAATCCTCGAGTTACCTCCAGATCTGCTTCCGTGCGTGATGCTTCTCCACCAGAACACAGTATTTACTCACTTTTTCTGCTCTAATTGGAGTCCTTGGGTCTCTCTGTCCTTGGTGTCTCTGTCCTCTCTTCCACCCTGTGGTGGGACCACTCTGCACCTCCCCGTGCTCGCGTCTCCCCGTGGCTGGTTCTCACCAGCTTCTGCTCTGCAACGCCAAAAAAATCCCAGTAGCTCGACCATCCTCATTCTGGGGCCTGGAAGTCCTCAAAGCCAGGAAAAAACTCTCACTTTTGTGGACTATTACACCAAATCCAGCCAAGCAGAATCCCAGCTCCAGCCTCGGGGAGGGTTTGGAGCAGCCGAGTGATGTCGAGGTCACCGCAGGGTGAGGGTGGGTGGGGGGTTCTTCTTCTTCTTCACGTTGATGTATTGCATGAAAAATCAGAATAAACAGCTGCTGACTGCACTGAGAGGTGCCAGCCTTCATCCTTCCACTGCTTTTCAAGGATCTGGGAGGGCTGGGGGGGGGGGGCACACATTCCTGGGATCATCACACATTCCTGGTTCACATCACACATTCCCGGTTCACATCACACATTCCTTGTGATCCCGGGTGCTTCCCGCAGGCGGGGGCCGCTGGAAATCCCACCAAACCCCCGCTAGGAGCCCACATCCTCCTCCAAGCTGGTGCCAGAAGGATTCCCGAGGGTCCATCCCAGCCCGGAGCACACGGAGCCGCTCCCGGCGACGTCCCCTCGGTCACACGTCTGGGTGACAAACATATGGCAGCACAGATGGTGTGTCTGCGACCGGGGCCAAGGCCTGGACTGCAAACCCCCCCAGCAGCTGCCAGGAACGGCCCCAAATCCCTCCTGGCCACGGCTCCCTCCGGGATCTGCTCCTGCAAAGGAGGAAACGCCGCTTTCCTGCTCGGGTTTTGTAAAGGGCAGTTTGTAAAATTCACTCTGGGAGGGGCTGGGTTGTGGGAGAAGGTGCTTTTTTTCCTGTATATGGGGGGAAAAAAAGAGTTGGGGGTAGAAAATCAGGGCTAGAAAGGAAAATATCTTGGGGATGGTTCCTCACTACTTCCCTTTGTGCTGCTCTGGGCTGTCCCGGCCTCCCACAGGAATTCCCAAAGAGCTGTCCCAGATCCCAGGGCACATCCTGGCTCCTGTGTTACCTCTCTGCTCCAGGCTCCCCTCGAAGCTTTGGGGGGGAACAGATTTCCCAGTGATTCCCAGGGGGAGCTGAGCCCTGAGGACTGAAGGAAGGGATTGTCAGGAATGTCAAAAATGGAGAAGGAGGAGAAAACCTGAGCGTGAATAACTGTGAAGAGCAAAACTGGGGAGAGCCCAAGGAGGGGCCCAGCACATTCCTGAGGCGGAGGCGGGAGCGTGGGCAGGCCCGGATCTGCCCTTAGGGCCGGGATTGCCCAACCGAGCCGGGGCCGGGCTGGGCCGGGCTGGGCGGGGGCCGCGCCCGGAGACTCCCGAGGGCCCCGATCCCGCTCCGGATCCGTCACATCCCACCCGGCCGTGCCCAGAGAGGAGCATCCTCCCAGCCCAGCCATGGTGAGCGAGCCGGGACCCCCGGGATGGGCACGGAGAGGGGGTTCCCCCCCTGGGGGGGGAACGGGGCAGCAGAGCAGCTTTTCCTGCCAGAGCCGGAGCGAGACGTGTTTGGCTCCGGAGGGAGCGGACGGTGCCAAGGCTGAGCTGGGCTCTGCTGGGACGGGGACTGGGCACGGGAAGGGGGGCAGAGAGGAGGGCAGGGGGTCCCTGCGGCCGTGGGGACAGGGAGGGGGTTCCACAGGGCACGGCAGAGGAGCTTTTCCTACAAAAAGCCCCCGAGTTGAGGCCGGACGGGTTCGGCTCTGGAGGAAGCAGGTGGGGCCAAGGCTGAGCTGGGGCTCCAAATCCACCCGGGGAGGGAGCCTGGATGTGGGAAGAGTGGGCAGAGACAGAGGGTCCCTGCAGGCTGGGGGGATCTAAGGAGTGGCATTTGTGTTGTTCCCCTCCCTTTTCCCACTCTTTCCATGCCCATAACCAGGCTCGGGGCTCTGCTCCCCCCCCCCAGCACTGGGAAGGGGGAAGAGGAACCAAGAGCTCAGGGTGGAAGGAAGTTGCACCTCTCAAATTAACCAAAAAAAGGCTGAATTGAGCCTCAGGAAGGGCAGGATGTGGCAGAGAGGCCCCGGGAGCTGAGGTTGGGGTGGGAAGGGCGGGATTTCCCCCGGCTCTCCCTGCACTGCCCTTCCCTAGAAACTGGAGGCTCTGGAAGTGGGAAAAGCCCCACATTCCCTCCTCTCCTCTCCATCTCCTCGCCTTACCCTGTCCATCCCTGCGGGAGGAGCCCCTGGCCAGCCCTGCTCCAGCCCCACTCCATCCCTGCTCCAGCCCTGCTCCAGCCC